GTTCACAAATCAGGTGAGAAAATGGGTCAACATGGCCCTTTTACAACGATATTCAACACTTTTGTGGGGTAATAGGACACTTGTACAGTTAATGTATCTTTTTTGAAAATTCGAGACAATTATAATTCCAGCCTAGTTTTTCACTGAATAACTATTTGTTTGTATGGTCAAATATCATATACATAATACATTGATATTTAAAAAGCTGATTTCGTTGTTCAAACATGTTGGTCACTTGGTCTTGAATGCGCTTTTTGTTCTTCTTGTTTCTTTAGTACACTAATTTTCTGCAGAACATGTTGGTTGCTAATTATTTTATAGAAACTATGGAGTCTCAAGATGAACAGAATCTAATTTGTTCATCTTCTGGTACTGTCCTTGTTGAGAATGAGAGCCAAAAGGCCCTCACTAGCAATGAAGCTATTGATGAAGTTATTGAAATTAAAGAAGGAAGATTTACTTCTAAAGCTTGGAAACATTTTAAACCGGTGAAGATTAATGGTTCCCGCTTTGGTGTTTGTAAGAATTGCGGTGTTTGTATGAAATCAACTCGGAATCATACTCCTAGGTGACCCAATAGTCCGAGTAACTTGGAAAATAAAGGTGGTTAGGGGTGAGATGATGGTTGCCATTGATATTACTTTGATCAAGATGTTTCACGTAGAGAACTTGTTCATGCCATCATTTTGCATGAGAATCCACGGACCATTGTTGATCATGTGGGAATTAGGAAGTTTATTGCTAGTCTCAAACCGTTATTCAAAATGGTGTAGAGGAACACAATCAAAAATGACATTTTGAAATAAAAAACTTTTAAGTTGCCGGAGAAACTCACAAGTAGAATTGCAGTAACAACTGATTTGTGGACTTCAAACTAAAACAAAATGGGTTCATGGCTATTACGATACATTTTATTGATGACTCATGGTAGCGTCAGGATCATATCTTGAGATTTGTTTATTTTCCCGCTCCACATGATAAGGATACTTTATGTAGTGTGTTGCTCAATTGTTTGTCAAAGTAGAATCTCGAAAGAAGTATATGAATAAATACAGTTGATAATTGTAGCACAAAACAATGCTATGATGAACACTTTGTTAGGTGAGAAACTTTCTTAATAGTTGGTGTGCATCGTGCATATTTATCTAAGGTAAATAATAATTACTCTTTGTTCGAATGATCTAAACAAAAAAAAAAGAAAAAAAACAATTACTATGTTCCATGTGACTTTGGGGAGATCTGAGAGAACTTTTGAAGAAGCATGCAAGTATCTGTTTCACTTGTATCATTGAGGGGGGATTTGATTAAAGTGAGCTGCTTGTTTTTCCTTTTTTAAAGTATTTATTTATCATATACAATCTGATCTGTTGAAATGCTCCCACTCCAACCCCTAAAAATACTAAATCCATTATTTCCATGCAGAAGATCTTTAACTAGCAGCTTTGGTCTTACTTGGCCCTGGTTAAGAGTATTGTTCCTATCTACAACTTGTGTTCGATACCAAGAGAAATCTCTTCAGATGAAGTCCACAAGCAATGCTCTGTTGGACTTGGAGGGGGAAAGCAAAAGCTCTTTCTCATCCTTCGAATCAAAACTTTTGATCTGCAACGGAGGGAGTGATCTGCAGTCACAAATTTCCAAACTTAATCCGACTATCAAGAAGCCTGAGATCTCTTCAACTTCCCAGAGCCAAGTTCTAGACAAGGTCAAGAATTTCCCTGGAGTGTTATCAGAAGCAAACAAAAAACTGGAGGTTGATGCAAAGGAAAATCCTAAAAAGTATGATATAGAAGAACTCACCCGGGAGGATTCTGAATACATAGAAATGAATTTAATATAAGGTGTTGCAGAGCTTTATTCCTCTGAGGCTGTTGCTGCTGCTGAGTCTGCAATAGCTCATCAGCAACCAGTGATTCCATTAGCTTCAAGCAGTAGCGCAACCACCAATATTGATGACAGTAGCGATGAAGATGATGGTTGACCTCTCACAGCACTATTGATCCTTGGAGTGTTGGATGAACAGTGTTTTAAAAATTAAATAGTTATGGCATGTAGTTACTGTTTTGAGTGTGGGCGCTGATGTGATGCAAAACTAAGCAGTAACTAGGGAAGCATAGATGCTGGGGTTTAAACAAATGGAGACAGTTGACAGAAATGGAAAAAAATGGATAACAAAGCTCCAAGCAAAAGTGACGTAAAACACCTAATGTTTAGTCTGGTGATATTATTTTTCCTTTGTGGCAGTACCAAAGTCAAGATCCTTTGTCATTCTTTCCATCCCAAGATAACCTTATACCATAATATTAAAATAGCAGTAGTAATAATGAAAATGGATAATTTTGTAAAATGTGTTGCTGACTGAGTCATTCTCAGTTTAATCAACCAATGGGCAACATGTCCAAATATTTTTAGCTTTCAATCAAGTCCAAGAAGTTTCCTTTAGCTTATGGTGATCAATAAAATATAAGAAAATCATCAAATGTTTGAAAGAGTCTCCTTCATCAATGACAACTTTAAGAACATGTAACACATTAATATGGAGTTTTAGCATTTGATATGGTCAACTCAGAAACCAGATGAAGGGAACAAACAGAAGCCAAAGGCAGAGTTTCCAACAACACTTAATCATTGATTACTCTGCTGGACCTAGAAAGCATCATCACAAGTTTGGCTTTTCCTTCAAAAGTGTCACGAAAAAGCTAAGTGATGTTTTCTCTACACTTGTCTTTTGGCAGAAGAAAGCCAATTCTGAGACCAACAGAAGTCAAAGTCCAGAGAGGGAGGTCTCCTGTAAGTTACTAATCCAATCTCATAAATAATTTTATTATCGTCATAAAGATTCACTGTTTATCAACATGTCTGAGGGCTGATAAGCTGATTTATGGTGACATTTAAGTCAGAAAATGGATCCAGTTCTGATATAATTAGAGGGGTCTATTTTACTTTTAGTGTTTATGCTTTTATGGTGCAAATCAATAATGATATGAATCCAAGTTATTTCCATCAAGCTTTTTGTAGCTGAGGATATCAGGGAGTTCTTGCTGTAACTAATTTACTTGGCATCTTTCTCCTTTTATCTGTAGCATCAAAAGGTAGTAACTCTTCCGGAAGCAAGAGGGGAATTTTGTTGAAACCCCAATACTCTAATTCCCATAGAACTTCAATGGCTACCAGGGAGCAGCTAGGTACATTCGAGTTCTCGTTTGAAGAAATTTGCCAGGCGACTGGAAATTTTTCTGCTGTACACAAGATTGGTGAAGGTGGGTTTGGGACAGTGTACAAGGGAAAGCTTAAGAATGGATTTCCTGTTGCTATTAAGCGTGCTAAGAAGGTACTGCTTTGTATTGAATTTTGTTATACACATTACTCTTTGACCTGCTCTGAACAAGAGCATAGGTTGTATTCTTCAGTCACAGTTTTAATCAATGATCTCTAAAGTTCTGAGACTAACAGGTATGCTAGATTGTGCTCAAAATCTTTATACGAAATCTTTTGTAGGATTTGCGAGTGTTGGCAGAATTCAAGAATGAAGTCCAGGCATTGTCAAAGATTGAACATCTAAATCTTGTTAGATTTTATGGATTTCTGGAGCTCAGAGATGAGAGGATTATTATCACTGAATATGTCAGCAATGGAACACTTCGAGAACACTTGGATGGTAGGTCAAGAAAGTCACTAGTCATATTATTATGCCATGTTCAACTAACAGGATTGTTTGGTTTACTTGATTATTAGTCATACTCTCAGTGGTATTTTACTGAGAACTGGATGAAGCATTGTCTATATTAGTTATTTGCTCCAATCTTGTTTAAATTCTAAAGATACCGTGACGTGTTAAGGCTCTAAACCGTTAAAACTACTTGGCTATTATCCTAATTTGATCTGATAACTTGGAATTTTTTTGAGTTAATATTCAGTGGAAATTAATGTCATCTGCTATATATAATCCAGGTAAGAATGGAACCGAGCTTGAAGTTGCCGAGCGTTTGAGCATTGCTATTGATGTAGCTCATGCTATTACCTATCTGCACTCGTACACAGGTAGCACGTCATGTTTGCTGACTACAAGGAGTATTTTATTAGATGCCAATCCATTGTCACTTTATTTTTCTTTTAAAGAATGAAGAGAGTTGTTCTTAAAATGCTTACCAAGTGTTTATGTTGATAACAGATCCTCCAATTATCCATAGAGATATAAAAGCATCTAACATACTCATCACAGAAAATCTCCATGCTAAAGTAGCAGACTTTGGATTTGCACGATTAGCTGCTGAAGATCCCTGTGCTACACACATTTCTACACAAATAAAAGGGACTGCCGGCTATTTAGATCCTGAGTACTTAAGGACATACCAGCTTACTGAAAAGAGTGATGTCTACTCCTTTGGTGTTTTGCTTGTAGAGATGATGACAGGAAGACATCCCATTGAAACAAATCGAACCATTGATGAGAGAGTGACGATAAAATGGGTGAGTAAGTCTATGAACTAACTAAAATTGTATTCAATAAATAGCCCAAAGTTGCATGCAATTGACAAGGACGCGTGTACTAGACAATTGAAGGTAATTTTTTGCAAATTTTCATCACGTGAAACTACCAGCTGAGGGAAAACAACATTCTACCATATTTCTGTCTAAATTGTGCCTTACTCATTTTTCTCTTAAGAAACAACCATTACTATAGAGCTTTTTCTTCTTTTTCTTGGATTTAATAAAGTTGGACATAATAGTCTGTACTTCCATACTATCCATTTCTACAATGAAGTTAGTAGCTAATGCGAATAATCTTCAAATGCAGGCGATGAGAATACTAAAACATGGGGATTCTGTAATAGCAATGGATCCAAGATTGCGAAGAAGCCCCGCATCAATTGAGGCTGTTGAAAAAGTACTCAAACTAGCTAGACAATGCCTTGCACCTTCCAGATTGGCAAGACCAGCTATGAAAAAATGTGCAGAGGTACTATGGGGAATTCGAACACAGTTTGTAGAGAAAAGTATCCCAAAAACTTCAACCTCTAGCCACTCTACAAACTTTCTGCACAGAAATGCAAAAAGGGATTGGGAGGATTTATACACAGTTAACTATAGCAAGAACTACAAATTTGTGTCCACTTGACAGATTTTTACGCAAAGTGCATATATAACAATGCATAAGGTATGACTTATTGTCAAATTAGGCTACTGATTCCCTGTAGACATACTAGGTGACCTGTATTCTTTTTCATCTGAGTGTAACATGTGTGCACCCGAAATATGTGCAGTCACCTCCACTATATAGGAGGCAGCAGTCGAAGGGTGGATCAAGATAATCTCATAACTTGGCTCATCAGATCGTGTTTGATCATGCTGCACTCAAACAATTCTCCCAAGACCCACCCGTACTTTGAGCTGAAAGTTCCTCCACCACTTTGCTGTGCATACTCAAAAATTATCACGTGAGTGCAAATATCCCAAGTCCTTGCTATGTCTTTTAAGGACATTGGTTGTGAAAGACTTCTGAGAGAGACACTAAACCTTGATTTGTCCTTCATGGATTGATCTTCACAGTCTTTACTGCAGCAGAAAATAGTTAAAAAATCTAGTTTTAAAATGATACACTTAGGGGTCGTTTGGTTGTTGGTTAGGAGTTTCGGGATATTAATGTATTAAATCCTACTTGTACCATGTTTGATAGCCTCTTTTTTTTTTGCTATGTATAAAATTCAACTCACCAAATATGGTGTTTGATTTAGAATCCCGCATAACTAATCTGTGTCTAATGTTATGTAGAATAAAAAGATGGAATAACTAAACCTGCATAACTAATCCTTGCATAAGTCTAACCATCAACCAAACAACCCCGTTGCAAATATTAGATTGTCAGAACTTAGTTGGCCTGCAATCAATAGAGACATGATTAACAGAATGTACAATCATAGCTCTACAGCAATAGGGGGAGAAGACATGAAACCAGGGATATCAGATCAATAGAACAAACGAAGGAAATATGTATGTATACAAGGAACCCGATCTACCTGACACAAGAGAGTTTACAAATATTACAAGTAGAGTTCTCTCTGAAGAACTCCTAGCCATGGACAACATGGTTAAGGATGACAGATACTTTCATGGAGCGCAGAGATATAATATATATATCATCCTTCTCAGATGATGAAGTAGTTAGAGGTGAAGAGAAGAATGACGATAACCTGGAAACCATCAAATCCAAATCTCAAGTCCAGAACAATATCAATCTTTCACCTAGGTACTCCCAGAACACCGGAAGAGTGTATGGCTCCATAGAACATGAAACAATTACAGATAAGGACAGTCAAATAGGTACCATCTCTTTAAGTTTCCAATAATCAGCTCTCTATCTTTGAATATCAGAGGAATAGGTTCCAAAGCATCTTTTGAAAGACCCCAAACTATGGTTCAACAATTCCAACTCCCTATTGTTTTCCTCCAAGAACGTACCTATGGTAGAATGCTGGAAAATGGATAGATACAGAAGGAAACTTGGGATGCGTCATGGTTATTACAATTGTTCTAACAAGATTTGGATCCTATGGTCCAATCTTGTCACTGTTACCATCATTTCAGATAATATTCAAAGTGTCAATATTAAGATTCACACCCAGAATGACCCCCCTTTTCTTCTCACCGTGGTCTATGCAAAGTGTACTGAAGCACTCAGGATGGAGCTTTGGGATGACATTAGGAGTCTTGCCAATAATTGCTTGGACCCTTGGGGAGTTATTGGTGACTTCAATGTCATAATGGGTAGTGAGGAAAAATTGGGAGGCAGAGACCATATATTTGAAGAGAGCCTAGAATATTTGGACTGCTGAATGATTGTGATTTGTGGTCTCCAAGACAGGTTTCTCGGGTTCAACTTTCACTTGGTGTGATAACAGAGATCTACCCACTACAATTTGGAAAAGACACGATAGATTGGTCTACAACTCAAAGTAGTTTCACAACTATAATACTACTGTTGTTTCTCACTTGTCAAGAGCTTGCTCTGACCATGCCCCTCTACTTATTACTATGAAGAATGATAGCCTCAGAACATCAAATATTTCATATTCCTCAATTTCTGGGCTGATCATCCGAACTTCCTACAAACAGTCAAGGAAGCTTGGGAAATAGAGGTGTTTGGGAATCCACTGTACATCCTCCATTAGAAACTCAAAAACACCAGCAAATGCCTTAGTAAATGGTCCAGACATGCGTATGGGGACATTTTTGAAGAACCAAAAAGATTGACAACACATATGAGATTACTTGAGGACAACTGTATAACCAATCACACAGTTGAGAATAGATATGAGCTTTCCAAATGCAGGGAAGAATATACAAGATATTTGAAAATTCAACTCTATCGTCAGACAAAAATCTAAAGCTAGATGGCTAGAAGAGGATGATGTCAATACTGCTTTTTTTACAGCATCATAGAAAACAGAAGAAAGAGGCTCACTCTTAGCAAAATTAAATGTGCCGGAACAATGGATTGAAGGAAATGAGCCTATAGCTAATGCCTATTGTGTCTTATTTTCAGAATATGTTTACTCAAGAGAGGCAGTTAAACAACTTTGAGACTCTCCAATGCCTTGATAATTGTAATAATAATGACGATAACTCTATGCTTAATGCTATGCCTACTCTACAGGAAGTCAAGGAGAGTATCTTCTCTATATATTAATATTGACAGTGCCCCGAGTCCAGATGGATTTAGTGGTTATTTTTATCAGCAAACATGGGAAATCATTTCCACAGATCTCTACAAAGCTACCATGGTTGGTGCTAAGCTCCCCAAATTCTTTACTCATACCTGTATTATTATGATCCCTAAGATTGACCATCCCCAGAAATGCTCAGAACTTAGGCCTATTAGCTTGGTAATTTGACTAGAAAAGTGATTGCTAAACTTATTAATACGAGGTTAGCCAGATTTCTCCCTAGAATCATATCCAAAAATCAAAGTGGCTTCATCAAAGGGATAGTTATCACTGAGAATATCCTACTAGACTAAGAGATCATTGATGACATTAAGAATCCTATCAAAGGAGGTAATATGGTAATCAAACTCGACATGGCTAAAGCCTACGTTAGAGTCTCTTGGTATTTCCTGTGCCTAGTGCTAAGGAAAATGGGCTTCTCTGACCAATGGGTTAACATCATTTATAAATTATAACTACATTGCCAATTATTGGTATTCAGTCATTGTTAATGGTGGCAAACATGGTTTTTTCACCTCCAACAGAGGTTTAAGGCAAGGAGACCCTCTGTCGCCCTCTCTGTTCATTCTTACTGGCTGAGTGCTATACCAAATGCTTATCCCAACAGGATGCATAATTATGTGGATTTCAAAAGCTTCTATATGAATAGCAAAGCCCCCAAAATTAATCACCTTTCTTTTGGTGACAACATCATCCTTTTTTGTAATGGTAGCAAGAGATCCATGACATTGGTCCTCAAAACTCTTAACACTTATGATGAGGTTTCTTTTAATGATAGCAAGAGATCCATCCTTTTTCATAAGCCATTTTTTGGTTTCGTTTAAAACTCTTCGAATAATTTTGTTTTTCCTTTTAAATCTTTTAAGAGTTATAAAATATTTCCTTTTGAATTTTCCAAAAAAATAAATAATAATGAGATCATTAAAAATGGACTTAAACAAGGGAGGGCGTTTCCCGGGAGAACAAAGGGATATTAAATTAATGGAATTATGATACTGATGAAGTATAATGAAGTAGAGCCCCACTAAGGTTTCCTCTGAAATGAGGCATGTAAGGGAGACACTACAAAGAACTTCCATGAGTTATGAAGAAATCTTCGAGCTCATATTGGTCATGGATTGGGGACGAGAATTGAACTCTATGAGATTAAATTTTTAGTTGTTCCTCAGTAGCTCAGTGGTAAAGCGATCAATTGTTAACTAATTGGTCATAGGTCCGAGCCCTACTTGGAGAGATTTGATCGATTCTAAATTCTTTATTTCACAATAAAGAGGCTTTCTTTTCCCGTTAAGAGTAAGTAATCTGTTCCCAATCATTGCCTTTATAGCATTCTATCTCATTATATCACATTCTATTATGTGATATTAGAAAATCATCATCAATACCTCGGTCTAGATTCAAAATAATCCTTTTTTCCATAGCCCTATGCTATTTACAACTAGTCAATTAAGAAGTTTAGAGAGGTCACAATTGCCACGAGCGAAGATACTAATGATGATGAAGAATATTTTGTTATGCTATTTATACTTCCTCTGCTATTCATCCCAAGCCTGACCGAGGAGGAGTTATGGAACGTAAAACAAAAAAGGACATAACACAAAAAAATACGTCTATTGGGCATACTATATGTTATGATTTTTTCATTCACAATAAACAATAGATAGAAAGATAAAAACGAAAAACAATTCATTTCGATAAAAGACCCACACCTAGTTTCATATATTTTGGTTCGCTATCCCGATCATGATTTTCCTACCCCTAGAGAGAAAGGGTACTTCCCTTTTGGGCCGGTTGTGGGAGAGGAGGGATTCCAACTTCTGACACTGTTGTTCATAGGCATGTGCTCAAATATTTTGAGCTACATGCATCGTCCTGTCTCTATTGAATATGTTCTCGGGAGTACCCTAAAAAAGGGAACATTTCCCCTCCCAACCATTTCAGGTTAAAAAAATGTAAAAGCGAGTTTATCCTTAAAAGCCTATAAGAAGGGTGCCTTTCGAGATGTGAAGTGGGAGAGAAGAGATGTTACAATTTGGGGTTTTGAATAAAATGACCTTTTGAATTTTCATATTTAAAAGGTATAAATAATAAAAGGTGTTTACATGTCAAAGGAATAGGTCCAACGAAGCTGATTGACGTGTTGAAGATGAAGGAAGCTGATGATTGGAACATGTCAAAGGAACAGGTCTAACGAAGCTGGCTGACGTGTTTACATCACTGTTGTAGAGTTAGAGTCACACTAGGATTAGACTACTTATATCAATTAGGATTAGATTACGACTAGGATTAGATTATTTATACTTACATTATTATTATTATTATGATTATTATTATGATTATTGTGGTAGGACTCTAAGTATAGTTAACTTCTCCTATATAAGGAGCTTGTAACTCAACATTATTTTCATCAATACAATCTTTGATTTCTCTAATCCTAGACGTGAGATTTCTATAGTTTTCTCTATTATTGGGATACTAGAATACCAAACCATGAATGAAGAAAGGCATGAGAGAAAAACATATTGACTAGTGATTGTAAGGCCCAATTAATCTTGACGGGAAGGGATACCAAAGGTTTCTCCCCTTCCATTTCTCGAATAGAAGTTACCCTATACCTGAAAAAGAAAATTAGAAATTTAAAAATTTGTGCGCTCCTACAAATTGTATACTTGAGGTGGCAGTTTTTTCTTCTTTAGAAGAATGACAAAGTCTCTCTTCTCAATAATGTTGGCATTAAACGTAGGGTTCGCAAATGGTTAGATTGGATCTGGATGGATTCAATATGGATTGCCTTAAAATGGATTGGATTACAATTCACCCATATAATAAAGGAAAAATTACGCGGTTAAGCAAACTTATACTACTTAATTATCCATTATAGCTATAATTTGATATAATTACCACTCGCGACTAACATTATACATTAATTACGTGGGCTGACTTCGAGTTTGTATAATTAGCCACGTTTTGTATATGTATAATTCGCCAGAATATACAAATACATATGTATAATATACAATTATCTAACCGATATACATATACAATTCACTTCTCTCCCACTCTCTGCCCTCTCTCGCTCGCCTCTCTCCTCCCTCTCCCAATCTCGCTTGCCTCTCTCTTCCCTCTCCCAATCTCGCTTGCCATATATACAAAT